GAGAGAAGAGGACAACAAACGAGGGGCTGTGACAAACTGTTTCGTCGGAGTTTCACCGACTCATCAGGAGGCTGATATATATATATATATATATATATATATATATATATATATATCGTCATATATATATATATATATATATCTGTTTGTGACGATACATATATATATATATCGTCACAAACAGAACTGCCCGGTAAACCGTAGGCACAGAGAGAGAAGAAGACAACAAACGAGGGGCTGTGACAAACTGTTTCGTAGGAGTTTCACCGACTCATATATATATATTATATAGTCAAACAGAGCTGCCCGGTAATATATACCTGTGTACCCCTCCTTGGGTAGCATATTTTGGAAGAGCGGCATCAAACTGGATCGACTCACTGTGCACCAGACGCAGTCGAGCATCCAGTACTGTGGCTTTGAGAGACCTACATACAGTCAAACCACCGTCAAACCACGATTAAAACATGGTCAAAACTTTTCCAAAACACGGTCAAACCATGGTCAAAACAAGGTCAAAACAAGGTCAAAACAAGGTCAAAATAAAGTCAAAACGTGGTCAAAACACAGTCAGAACACGGTCAAAATGATCAAACAAGGTCAAAACTTGGTCAAAGTACTGTCAAAACACTGTCAAAATATGGTCAAGTGAAAACACAGTAAAAAAAAGGTCAAAACATGGGCTAAGCACAGCCAAACCATGGTCAAACAATGGTCAAACCACGTGGCGAGAACAGTCAATCTCAAGGGACAGAAACATGGACATCAGATCGGGGAGGCTCGAAGGGTCGGGATCACAGGCGTTCTGAGTGGACATCGACAAGACACCTAACTGTGTCAAACCACCAATTGACTGAGAGAAAAAAAAATTGCCCCACATCATCATCATCATCGTCATCATCATAGAATAACATACAAATCATAAAATAAGATACTAATAATAGTTTTTTATGTTATTAATTTTTTATTTACTATTTTTTAGTATTTTATTATTTAATATTATGAATATTTTTATTGCAAACAACCGAGGTGCATTGAGCCTCACTGCTTGTCATCTTGAGCACACACACACACACACACACGCACACACACACACACACACACACACACACACACATCGAGAGATCGCACGAAATCCACACTGGAGTCCCGAGATGCAAAGTCCAGATTAGCGAAGCTCGGAAAGTCGGAATCCAACAAATTATCATATTAAACAGTTTCATAGTTCTGGCCACCAGCGCTCCACAGCGCAGAGGTCAATAACCCATATCCAGCGTCCCCATCCAGGTAGGTGACTCTCTCTCTCTCTCTCTCTCTCTCTCTCTCTCTCTCTCTCTCTCTCT